AGCTTTGCAGACTCTCCCTCTGAGAACACATACAGAATCTGAAATATCGGGTCCTTGGCTAATGCTGCTCAATCACAGGCAACATAGAGATTGTGTAAGAAAGCTACAAATCAGAATGAAATTTAAAATGCTGCAGCAACATGCAATAATTTTCAGCAAAACAAGAAGTGGAAATCCAGGCTATTGGGACTGGGAAACAGTAAATATCGAATAATAGAAAATGGCTCGAATGGACCTATTACTCCCAGCTCACCGATGGGGAAGTGGAAGTGTGAGCTGTGACCACAATGTAGGTTGTGTCAAAATCAGGACAAGTTTCAAGTCACAATTCTGCCATCAGGAAGAGGGAATGCCATGATTCAACACAAGTGAAGGGGAAAAGCCTAGGATGCAGCAAGTTGTACAAAATTCAGCTTCTGGGATTCTTGATTTTACAAAGCAAATTTCTACTTCTGAGGATTTGTTTGAGAGAGCAGAGGCAATGCCTGGTGAAACTGTGGAAGCCAGAAAAGGTTGTGGAATAAGATTTCTGGGAGTTGTGAGCTGAAGCTTCCCAGTGTTCTGTAGCTCCATAACACAGAGAAATTGGCGGAAGTGCAGAATAATTGCACAGGTTACAGAATTCGGAGGCTTTCAGCACCAAGTGCACCCAGCCTCACCCATGACTAATTCACAGGAGCACCCGAAATGAATGGCATTTCCTTTGGGAATTTTTGCAGAAGTCAGAAAGTGCTAACATGCATTTTTTAAAAGGAGAGCCCTAAATCCATAAATATTACAACTCTACACGGAAGCAAGCGATGTCTCTGATGGTCCTCACAATTCACAGATTACTTGCCCAATCTCTCAGCGGTAAGATTCAGAGATCAGAGGTACTCTTTGGAAAAGGGACTGCTGGTTCCTTCAGTCAGCAGCACGAAGATAAAGAAATAGCTCCCGAAATATAAACGATTCCCACAAAACCAGAAGGCTGCAAAGAGTCATCTAGTTCAACCCTCTGCAAACTAGGATTAACAGCTGGAGATTACATGGCAAATAGCCATCCAACCTCTGTTTAAAAACCTCCAATGAAGGATCACAACCAGATGAAAACTGGAGAAACACCCCAAAGAATCCACAAATCTTTGAGGGAGAAGACTCATCAAACAGTTTCACAAGCAGATACTTGATCTGAGAGAGCCATTTCATAGAATCATAGAGTTGGAAGAGACCCAAGGATCATCTAGTCCAACCCCCTGAAATGCAGGAATCACAGCTGAAGATTCCATGACAAATAGCTATCCGACCTCTGTTTAAAAAACCTCCAGCAATGAGAGTCCAATACCTTCCAAGGTAGTCTGTTCCACTGTTGAATAGTTCTTACCATCAGAAAGTTCCTCCCACTGTTTAGTTGGAAATTCATTTCTTGTCATTTGGATCCGTTGGTTCAGGTCCTACCTCTGGAGCAGCAGAAAACAAGCTTGCTCCATCTTCCGCATGACAGCGCTTCATATTACTAAGTTCCATGTGACATGCAATAGTACAGCTGTGCGAAATGGATCAGCTGTGACAGCCGCTCACACAAAGGTGCCACTGCATGTCTCACCCCTTTTTGAGCGCCATTCCGAAAGTGGCTTGGTCTGGCACTGTTGGGAAATCAAACTCTGCAGCCTGGGCCTTGAGGGGAACGTGAGTTTCGCAGGCAAAGTGACAGAGCAAAGCAGAGTGGGGAGGTACTCAAGGAGAGTGCGTTAGATTAGGAAGTAAGGCAGTGAGAAAAAGACAACCCGAGATCTAACAGAAGGCAGAGGTTTAGCCAAAGTCAACGCAGGCTCCAAAGGGCCACCATTTGCCCCACTGAGGACATGCTAGCCAGGAGTTCTAGATTGCCGAAGTAGCCTCATGCTGGCCTCAGTAACTTTTATGTTTGAAGAGCATGAAAGAAAATCCCCCCCAAATGCTCATCTAAGATTTTGCATGTGCCAAAGACAAGATGCAGTGGAGCGACAGGCCAGTTAAACCAGGTGTCATCATGGCAACCATTCATCCTTTTTGTTCACTGATGGCTCACCTGCTTCCTTGGGGCACAAAACCAGCATGAAACCTCCCCGCCGTGTTGCCCTAGGTATATACTTAGCTACAGGACCAGAAAGCTGCTTTTCAGCAAACAGACTAGCTACAAAGCCATCTTTGGACCTACCAGAACTTGAAGCCACCAAAAATAAGAGCTCCAGGGAAGAGATGGCATCAGGGGAACAATATTATCGTTCTTTCTGCTCTTCCCTTTCAAGATTCAATTTAGGAAGTGGACAGGGGGAAGTTTTTATCCCCGTCTTGTAACTTGAGGACTGGTGGGTATCCAAAGAAGCTGGAGGTTGGAAGATCCGGGACAGAGAAAAGCAAGGACTTCTTCACGCAGCACATAGTTAATCTGGGGAACCTGCTCCCGCAGGAGGCAGTGATGAGGTAAAGGTAAAGGTAAAGGGACCCCTGACCATTAGGTCCGGTCGTGGCCGACTCTGGGGTTGCGGCGCTCATCTCGCTTTATTGGCCAAGGGAGCCGGCGTACAGCTTCTGGATCATGTGGCCAGCATGACTAAGCCGCTTCTGGCGAACCAGAGCAGTGCACAGAAACACCGTTTACCTTCCCGCCGGACCGGTGCCTATTTATCTACTTGCACTTTGACGTGCTTTCAAACTGCTGGGTTGGCAGGAGCAGGGACCGAGCAACGGGAGCTCACCCCATCACGGGGATTCAAACCGCTGACCTTCTAATCAGCAAGCCCTAGGCTCTGTGGTTTAACCCACAGCGTCACCTGCGTCCCTTACCATAAAAGAGGGCGAGGCAACTGCATGGAGGAAAAGGCTATTGGCGACTATTAGCCACAATCGCTATGCTCACAATTGCTATGCCTCCACCGTTGGAGGGAGCAACCACTCAGTCCGTAGAGAATGACACTCTTAATCTCAAGAGTCATGGAGTCAAGTCCCATGATGGACAAAAGATTCCTGCGTTGCAAGGGGTTGGACTAGATGACCCTTGGGGATCCCTTCCAGCTCTATGATTCTACCAGCTGGCAGTAACCACAGGGCAGGGACACTGCTCTTGTGCTCAGATCCTGCTTGCAGGTTTCTAACAGGCACTGTAAGAACAGGATCCAGGCGAGATGGGCCGCTGGCAGGCGCTTCAGATGTCCTTATGTAATGCTAGTGTGGCCAGTTAGCAGACTCTGAAAGCCCGCTCCCCCCCCCACAATTCCCCCACGGCCCATCTTGAAAGGTGCCAACGATGACAAGCCGTTCCAATTAAGGATCGTCCCGCAGGAACAGGCTGGGTGGCATTCCTGCCCTTCGCAGAGATCTGAACGGTTCTGCGGAGCAAACCGCAGGGGGCACGAAGAAGAGGTGCCAGAGCTCCAGCCAATGAGGACGCTCGAGCGAAGGCTTCCAAAGACCAGGGAGCAGCTTTGAAGTGCTCAACTCGAACGGGAGAGAGCAAAAGCGGCAGCTTCAAAAAAAGGTTTCAGAAAGATTTATTTTTCAGAAGTTAAGAAAGGAGGAGGGGGAATGAATCGGCTGCCAAGGGAGGGGGGTGATTAACGAGGGGCGGGGGCAGGAGATGAGGAACAGAGCCGAGGATTCAACTTTGGACTTTCCCTGCAGGGTGGCGATTCTTTTCGTGGGACAGAGGGAGAGGTATCTGCCCCTCCCTTCCCCGTCACGCATGCAGCCTAAAATGAGGAGGCATCACTCCTGTTTTTGTGTAAGTGCTCCTTTGCCGCGGCTTTTTGAAGAGGAGGCGGAGAATTGGGAAAGGTCAAGCTTCTGAATGCAGAGGCTTCTGCAGGAAGCCAACCCTTCCATATTGTTGCTGTGATTTATTTGATAGTTCAGTTGGTAGAGAATGAGACTCTTCAACTCTGGGTCATGGGTTCGAGCCTCACGTTGGGATTCCTGCACTGCAGGCGCCTGGACTAGACGAGCCTTGTGGCCCCTTCCGACTCTGTACTTCTACATTTTCTCATTACTGCTACCCTCCACCATAATGTCCCGGGACAGGTTAAAACAATTTAGAAATACAGTATGAAAAACAGTTTAAAGCATGTTAACAGCCATGGGTACATTGTGGGTCTTAAAAATATACATCTCAAGCATCAAAGGTCAGGGTAAAGAGGGGCGTTTCTAGCCTACACATAATGAAAGTGCCAGGTTTGCTTCTGTGGCAAAGGGAATTCCACAGCTTAGGAGCCACCACAGAGAAGGCCCTCTCCTGATTCACCCGCCCACTGAACTTCTGGGGACAGAGGAACTACCAAGAGGGCCCTCTCTGGCAATCTTAATACCCAAGAGGGTCTGTAGGGAAAGAGGCAGCCTTTTCAAACTTGGGGACTAAGTTGTTTAGGGATTTAAATGTGAGCACCTCTAACTGGGCCCAGAAATGAACTAGCAACCGTTAACATCTGCTGTTACCTGTGTGATGGCGGGAGAAAGATGCACAGTTGCATTTCGGATATACACTAAGTGAATAAATTTCCTAATGGAGTATTATTGATCTGTTGGGCTAAGTGAAGAAGTGCAGGTGGCAGGATAAGCCTTTGCCAACCTGCTGACCTCCAGATGCTTTGGACTACAGCTCCCATCAGCCCCTGCCAGTGTGACCATGCTCCTTTAGCACCATATACCCGTGCTGACTAGGGGCTGATGGGAGTTGCGGTCCGAAAGATCTGGAGGGCCCCAGGCTGGACTGGTGGAATTGCACCAAAAGTGGGGGGACGCGGCAAAAAAGGAGGAGAGGTCCCCTCCAGCATCACACCCTCCGGGAGGAGGGGTACTGTAAGGCTCCTGACCCGTTTGCCAGATTTCACCCTCACAAGGACCCTGCCGTGGGGTGACAAGCTCCAACAGCCCTGCCGGGTGTGGTGAAAGGCAGTGGATTTCCCACAAGCAAGCTCATGCAGGGGTTAGTAAGAGACAGGTGGCCATCCCATCACCGCACGCAAAGAAATCTTGGAATAACCTACTTGGAAGGTCTCAAATGCAGATAGGTCTTCTGCCCTGGGCTTGAGGCTAAACCGGCAAAATGAGAAACAAACACACAAAAGAAGAGGTCCTCTGTGAATTTGAGAGTGTCAACGTTCCCAGGTCGTGTCTTCCTCAAACAAAGTGTGAAAATTCGGTTGGCGGTTCTATAGCTCACAGGGCACTATCTCCTCTGGAAAGCGCTCTTGCATAAGGCCCACTCAAAGTCCCATTTCATCGGGACTCGCACAGTCCCATTTCATCGGGACTCGTGGGCGAGGATTGTATTCCATTTTCATTGGAGGGCAAGCCAAAATGCTACAGGCCAAGCCCGGCAGTTGGGTAGTTTTAGCATAGCAGCACTTAAACCCTCTGGAACTCCCTGCCTCTTGACATCAGGTAAGCGCCTTCACTGTACTCTTTGCAGCACCTGCTAAAACGTTTTTGTTTAGACAGGCCTACCCAGACATGTAGGATGTCAGTGTATGTTTTAATCTGTTTTTAATTTATTGCTGATTTTGTCTTTTGACTGCTTTGGAATAGTTGTTTTAGCTGAAAATGTCACTCTTTTATTCTTTGTAAACTGCTTTGAGGGTTTGCTTGGGGTTTTTTGCGATATACATTTTAATGAAAGAAATGAACTATGGGCCAGGAGAGTGTTCACCTGTCGCAGAAGTGGGCATCAACCTCTATTAATCTATTGATCTTTCCTTCTATCTATTTAAATTGCAATGTAGGTCAGCACAAGATCTGTTCTGAAGCTGTCCCTTGCAGGCAGCAAGGAAAAAGGGTGAGGTATGATTTCAGTAGGCACCGGAAGAAGCCTCAGACTAGTTTTGTTGGTGCACCAGGATAATGGCAGTCACCCTGCGACCTTGACCCTCCCTCTCCCCCTCCTGGGAAGCAGCATTAATGCCGCAGCGCTGAGGTCAGGGGTGCATGGGTGCCCCTCCCTGCCCATCCCACTTCAGTCCATCCTGAAATGACAAGCTGCCCTTCCTAAAATCATATTTTCTACATATTAATGATATAAGAGCCTCCTTTGCATCTGGACATATAGAGTTAAAAAGAAAAAGAAAACAGAAATGGGTCCCAGGTCCTGGGCTGAGGTTAAAAGGTGGGTCCTGGGTCGAAATATGTTGATGGTACTGTCACGAGCCAATATGATGCCGTGGTTAGAGTGGCAGGCTAGGAGCTGGGAGAGACCAGGGTTCGAATCCCCCGCTCAGCCATGAAGCTTGCTGGGTGACCTTGGGGGCCAGTCTCTGCCTCTCTCAGCCTGACCTGCCTCACAGGGGCTGTTGTGGGGATTAGAGGAGGAATGGGAGAACCATGTCTGCCACCTTGAGCTCCTTAGAGGTGAAAGGGAGGAAAAGGTGGGGCACAAATGAAACAAATGAATAAATAAAGTAACAAAATCCGAGTAGGAAATAAATCAAAATAAAACAAAGCAGAGATATGATGAAGCAATTCAAGAAACACAGCTCAGTTTTCTTGTCTACAATGATCCTCCCTCCATCTACCAAGGGATTTTTTTAATAGAAAGCTTGTTATCTTTGGCTTAAAGGGGAGATTCCTTGCTGACAGTCTCCTGGGATTCCGAAGAGATATTCAAGGCAAACCAAAGATTTCCCTCTTCTCAGCAAATATTTCAACATTGTTGAATCCCACAACGATGGGAGAAGAATGATTTCGAAACAGCAAGTCAACCAGGCAGAGAGCTGAGGCAATTATTCCTCTTGTAACCAAACAAGGCACACAAAGGGAAGCACGGACAGTCAACTGACTTTTTAACTTTTTTTTTTTTTTTTTTGCTTGCTGAGATCAGAAATATGGAAAATGAGGCTCTGAAATGATGCCTAAGTAGAACCTCTCCATCCAAGAGCAATATGCCGCTGAATACCAACTGCTGGGCTGCAATGGTAGAAAAAAGATCCTGGTTTTATGCAACTGGCCAGCCACAGAAGTGGACCATGTGGGCCTCTGTGGGGGGAATTCAACACAGCCCTTGTGAAATGTATTGCCTTTCCCCTCTCTCACTCCAAGACTTTTCCCCTGCCACAGCTCTACGTGTTATGAAATGAAGGAGATCTCCAGCCCCATACTGTGCCCCCCTGCTCTTGGAAGCCCTATAAGAACCTGTTGCAGTAGAGGGACTGTGAGCAACATCGGTGGGACAGGCAGTTTCTAGGACCAAGGTGAAACTTCCTCTGTTATTTTTTTGCTATTGGACACTGCGTCTTGGTGCTGTTGCAACAGGGGCTGGACGCTGACCAGTGGCAGTACCTTTTCGGTGGTGGCTCCCCGGTTATGGAATGCCCCCTCTAGTCAAGTGCACCTGTCTCCTTTATTATTAAATTTCTGGTAGAATTGGAAAACGTTCCTTCCCCTGCCCCCACCCGCAAGCATTAGGTGGCTGAGAAACACTGGCTGGGAATTGTGCTACAGCAACACCTGGAAGGCCAAAGGTTCCCCCAGTCTTCTTGGGGTCTCTAAGGAAATTACCAGTTCTTTTTTTCTAAAAAAATGTTTAGGGGTACTCTCATTTTTCTACTCATACTGAAATACTGCCCTGCAATGAGGCCAAACTTATATTCACAAAATGTTTAGGGGTATGCATACCCCTGCGTCCCCTCCAGAAAAAAAGCACTGGAAATTACTAAACGCAAGAGGCACTTTTACAGCCACCGTGCAATGCTGGTTCCATGTTTGTAAGCCACTGAGCATTTTAGCGTTGCAGCATGGACACTTCGAAACTCCCTGCCTATTGAGATCAGGCAGCTTCACTGTGCCCTTTTTGACACCTGCAGGAAGCATTTTGATTTAGGCAAAGGCTACTCAGATACATAGAACCTTGAACTGCGTTTGCATCTGCTTTTTAGCTTACTGTTGATTTCAGCTATTACTGTTTTTCAACGTTTTAAACAGCCATTTTTAACTGTTTTTTTCTACTGACAATGTCAATGTCTTGTTCTTTCTGCGCTAATCCCGAAGCTTGGGGTGTGCAGAGCTCAGCGCGCCCCAAGCTTCTGGGTGCAGGCAAGCTCTCCGCTAGCCCTGGGAGAGCTGGGTCTCCCACGGCTAGCGGATGTCTTTCTGAAGCCTGGAGAGCGAGAGGGGTCGGTGCGCACCGACTCCCCTAGCTGTCCAGGCTTCAGCGAAAGCCTGCATTCGCCCCATAGGACGCACACACATTTCCCCTTCATTTTTGGAGGGGGAAAAGTGCGTCCTATAGGGCGAAAATATGGTAAATAAAGGCGCTCTCCAAAACACGGCACAAGGTCTCTCTCTCTCTCTCTCCCTGCGCGACATGTCCTGAATTGAGCTCGGCCGCATTTTCACGCACCAATAAGTCCCGTTTTTTATGCAGTGGCGTGGCCTACGATACCTTCTTGATGGTGTTGTGCTTGCTGCTGCCCCGCTCGTTGTTCTCGCTGTGCAAGATGTCCATCGCCGTCTCCCTCTCCTTCAGCTTCAGAGCCTCGATCTCCGTCTTCAGCTCGTTCAGCTGCTCCTGGAGGTGCTTGCTTTTCTCCATGTACTCCACCCTGAGCAACGACACACACAGACACACACAGACACACAGAGTGCCTGCCGTTAGCCGCGAAACCAAACAATTTTTGCAGACGCAGCTAAAATAGATAGGCTTCTCATTTAATTATCCCTGAAGTGCTGCCTGGAGGATGAAACCGATGACATTGCTTTGAAATGCACCAAAAAAGCTTCACTAAAGCAGAGGTGGGTTGTTGTTTTTTCTTTTTTTCTTTCCCACCCATCCTCACAAAGCTGCAGGTCTGGAACAGGTGACTGAATGTCATCTGGACCAGCCTACCAGCCTGGTAGTCAGATAAGCAATTCACAAGTTGCAAATCACAGAATTGGAAGGGACCTAGGGAGCCATCTAGTCCAACCCCTGGAATGCAGGAATCACAGCTAAATCCTGAGCCATGGAACTACCTTTTCTACTCCAGAATAGACAGAGGTGTGCCGACATGCCTACAATATGACACCGCTCAGCTGTCTTTGGGCATCACCTCCACTGCGTTAAGTAATATGATGAAGAGCAACCCGCAAAGTTGTCACGGCCTCAGAGCAAGATTTGTTAGAGGCAGAGTTCTCCAGGAACTGCAGCTTCAGGGAGGAGAAGAATCCATGCTTAGGTCCGCACTGCACCCTTCCACAGAACCTCAAGCAGACACCACTGTCGCCAGACTCTGATGGCTGGTCTAGAGACTCCTCAGGGGATCAAGAGAGTCCCAAGGTGTGTGATAGTCTAGTCAGTAGAGCACGAGACTCTTAATCTCAGGCAATGGGTTCGAGTCCCACATTGGATAAAAGATCCCTGCATTGAAGGTGGCAATAATAATAATAGTAATTATATTATTATTATTATTATTATTATTATTATTATTATTATTATTATTATTTATACTCCCCCCAATCTGGCTGGGTTTCCCCAGCCACTCTGGGCGGCTTCCAACAAAATATTAAATTACAATAACCTATTAAACATTAAAAGCTTCCCTAAACAGGGCTGCCTTCAGATGTCTTCTAAAAGTCTGGTAGTTGTTTTTCTCTTTGACATCTGGTGGGAGGACGTTCAACAGGGCGGGTGCCACCACCAAGAAGGCCCTCTGCCTGGTTCCCTGTAACTTGGCTTCTCGCAGTAAGGGAACCACCAGAAGGCCCTCGGCACTGGACCTCAGTGTCCAGGCAGAACGATGGGGGGTGGAGACACTCCTTCAGGTATACTGGGCCGAGGCCGTTTAGGGCTTTAAAGGTCAGCACCAACACTTTGAATTGTGCTCGGAAACGTACTGGGAGCCAGTGTAGGTCTTTCAAGACCGGTGTTATGTGGTCTCAGTGGCCGCTCCCAGTCACCAGTCTAGCTGCCGCATTCTGGATTAGTTGTAGTTTCCGGGTCACCTTTAAAGGTAGCCAGATGACCCCCATGGTGCCTTCCAACTCTACAGTGCTATAATTCTATGATTCTAATGTGAGATTTCCCACACATTGAAACCCCATTGCTTGGAAGAAAACAAAGGGGGCAGAAGAAAGCACTGCTGGCCAGTTAACTGACCAGGACACAGTGGCAGGGCTTCCAGATAATTAAAACACTGCTATAAAACTCAGCTCCAGGCCTTTGCTGAGACAACTTGGATGTTTGGTATCAATGGAGGGGTTGCTGTCCGTGGTCCTGAACCCAAACTTTGACTGGTCTCCGGAGTGCTGACTTTGCCTTGCCTTGGAATCCTGCCTGCCTAGGGCACTGGGAACTGCAAACCTCCACTAGATCAGGACATTACCCTTCCTTGGTACATGGGAAAAATCTGAGATGCTTGCAGTGCCCAAGTTGAGAAAGCTTAGGAGACTGGGGAGAATTTCGAGGGCCAGTCAGAGAGGCTTAGATGGCCACGTTTGGCCCCCCAGGGCTGAGGTTTGCCATCTCTGCCCTAGAGAGTCGGTGTAGATCAGGGATGAGGAACCTTTCTGGCCCAGCAAGTCAGATCACTATCTCCCCCCCCCCCACTGGACAACTTTGGCGGGTAGATGGGGCCAACCGATTGTCAATCATCTGACATCATGATGACATCAGGTGACTGAGAAATGGGCAGTCCCACCCGCTGGTACAAGTTGAGGGTGAGAGGAGGGGTCTGCTTCACCAGCACGTTTGCTGCAGGGTATGCACTAGCAGAACAGTACCCAGAAGGACTGAACCCTGTGCCCACCAGTTGATGAATGGAAGGTTCAGTCCTGCTGGTTGCACCTTTCCAGTGAGGTACAAACTGATGAAGCAGTACCCAGCAGGGCTGAATCCAGCCCCCAACAGCTGACATCATCCAGTGACATCAGCTGGTGGACAGGTGGGCATGGCTTGGGGGAGATGGCCTCATAGGCCACCGTGAACCCTCCTGGTGGGCCACGATTGGTCCACAGGCCCCACATCATGCTGTAGACAATACTGAGCTAGATCAAAGCATGGTCTGATATGATCTCGGTCAGCTTCCTATGCTTTTAAGTTAAATGTCACATTGAAAGAAAGAAAGGTGGGTGGAATCTGCATTGTGCCCATGCAGCGCCACGAGACTGTGAGTTACCACAGCCAAGAAGGAGAACAACGCACTTCTCTTTCTCTATCTCCATGGACAACCTCTTCATGTCAGTATCCTTGAAGTCAAAGGAGAGGCTTTCGCTGATGAGGTTGAAGGTTGGCATGTCAGCAGGGAGCGCCGTTGAGCCTGAGTTCATCGGCTGCTAAAGGCAAAGCAGAGATTAATCACCCACTGCAGGTTGCTATTATTATCAGTCAAAAATGTATATGCCGCTTGATGCAGAGATTTGCATTTTAATTTTGATGGTATTTCATGTTGTAATGCTGTCCTCTATCCTGAATTAGAAGAGCATGAGAAGAAGCTTGCTGGATCAGGACCAAAGGCCCATTTAGTCCAGCCACATGTTCTCACAGTGCCCAACCAGATGCTCCAAAGGGAAGACCAGAAGCAGGATCCGAGCACAAGAACACTCTCCCCTCTTGTGGTTTCCAACAACTGGCATTCAGAAGCATTGCTGCCTCTGGCCATGCAGACAGAGCATAGCCATTGTGGCTAGGAGCCATTATATGATACAGGGATATGGATATACTTTAATAGCGTAATACAGTGGTGCCTCTGGATGCAATCGGGATTTGTTCCGGAGCCCCGTTCGCATCCTGAAGTGAATGTAAGACGTGTCTGTGCGTGCCACGTTTCGCCGCTTCCGTGCATGCACATGACGTCATTTTGAGCGTCTGCGCATGTGCGAGCGGCGAAACCCGGAAGTAACGGGCTCCGTTACTTCTGGGTCGCTGCGGAGCACAACCCGAAAATATTTAAGCTGAAGTGTATTCATCCCGAGGTATGACTGTATCTCAATATAATTTAGGCAACTGAGCAGGCTACAAGTATAAAAACCAAGTACGCCAACGTTAAAAAATAAAAGCATCCAGAATCAAAACAGACAATGAAACAATCCCATTGTAACATTAACATATAAACATGCAATGCAACAACCACATTAAATCAACACAGCAATTAAAACAAGGAGGCCCAGGTTGAGGTCAACAGTAGTTGCCTGCCCATAATGTTTCCTAGCAGGACAGGTGAGAGCAAAGAGGCACCTGGGTAACAAGATATACTTACCAGCAGGTGCCTGGACGCTTTATAGACATCCTGGCCCCATCAGTAACCAGCTGTGATCTTGCATCTAATTTAATGCCAATAAGAAAGTACAGTTGGTCTCACTGCAGGAAACACACTTAACCCCTTTGGGTTTTTTCACAAGTTGCTGGACGTGGCTTTACTCCAGCAAGTTTTTTTGCACAGATCACAATTCCTGTAGCACGAGTCTGATTGCTCTCTGATTCTGACTGCTATGTCTGGGGCTGGGCTAGCGATGGGGTGGTTTTATTTGCCTTCTTGCGGCTTGTGGATTGGTTCATCTCTGAATCCCCATGGAGCAATTTTGCTCTGCCCGTGTCTTCTGCAAAGCACATCGTGTCTTGGGGTTGTGTGGGCAGCTAGGAGTGGGAGATGAGTGGCGGATAGATGATCCTGCCTTGTGGCATGAACAGGTAGGCCTTTTGTGCCTCTCAATGCCGCAAGCCTGTGAATCTGACATTTATTCAGTGCCGGGGATGTGTGATAGAAGCCCACACTACAAATTGGTCAGAGCAGCGGAGCTGATAACCATAACTCTTCTGGACAGCTGATGCCAAGAAGAAGGGCTTCAGGCTGAATGGATTTTACAACTCACTTGAAAAGCCTCAGAGATCAACGTCAAGCACAATTGTTTAGACCACAGGTCCTGGCTGAAATGTGGATGCCGGAGAAGAAGAACAATGTGTACAAAAGCCAATGAAGCCTGTTGCAGTGATGCAAAGTGCCTTCCATCCAGTTATTAACCTTCCCTTGCTTTTCCCGGGTGTGAGTCTGTGTGCTACTGTGTCCTAATGACGGAGGCACCAAATATCTAAAAGGCCACCTCCTTCCCTGCAGATCCTCTAAGTTTGTAAAGATTGGCAGTACGTAAGAACATAAAAAGGGCCTGCTGGATTAGTCAAGTCCCACATCCTGTTTCCACAGTGGCCAACCAGATGCCTGTGGGAAACACCTACTTTGCAGTGGCTGCAGGCCTACCTGGACGGTCATTTCCAGAGGGTGATGCCTGGGGAATGTTGTTCGTCCCCATGGAGCCTTCAACGTGGGGGGTTGCCCAGGGTTCAATTTTATCTGCTATGCTACTCCACATCTACATGAAACCACTGAGTGGGGTCAGCAATATGCTGATGGCACATAGCTTTGCTATTCCTTTACATCCACAGGTGTGGCAGAGGATGTGCTGGACCGATGTCTTGCCTCAGTAATGGACTGGATGAGAGCCAACAAGTTGAAGCTCAATCCAGGTTTCAGGCAGGGGATATTCCCAGTCCTGCCTGGAGATTAAACCAGGGACTCTCGGACTCTCTGCATCTGAGCTACAGATGGCTCCCTAGACCAGATGGGTGGCAGGTGGCCCTCTCTTGATGGAGTCGTACCATCTCTGAAGGAGTAGGTATGTAGCTTGGGTGTACTTCTGGGTCCACTGCTGTTGCTTGAGACTCCAGTGGTCTCAGCAACATGGAGAGCCTTCCATCAGCTTTGGCTCATGGCCCAGTTGCACCCCTATCTAAACAGGGATAATCTAACTTAATAATAATAATAATAATAATAATAATAATAATAATAATAATAGCTTTATTATTTATACCCCGCCCATCTGGCTGGGTTTCCCCAGCCACTCTGGGTGACTTACAGCACATCTAAAAAATCTTCTGTCATCTTTGCTCTGGTAACCTCTAGGTTAGATTACTGCAACATGCTCTTCTTGTGTTTCCCTCTTGAACTAAAGTGTTAGGGATTTTACCACTGATATGTCTTCTAATGCTCCAGCCTCCAGTTTCAAGCAGCAGGCAGTCTCACCCCATAATAAGTAACTTTACTCCATGGTAGGTATGCTAGCTTGAAGCAACACAGCTACCCCTCAGTAAGCATCTTGCCTGCTCATTGCTCTCCTGCTAGTTTTTGCATCCCTATCTACTGAAAATTCACAAGACAACCCTAGGGAAAGCAAGGGACAATGAGAGGAACAGCACCCGAACTGCATTGATTCTGAAATATTCTTGTTCCCCACCTGTGAGAATCATTTCCTTTCAGAGCAAATAAGTCGGCATTCTAAGCATTCCCACGGGCCACGAGTGAAAGAGGATTGTGTCAGGCCCCTTTAAGAGATCCTCGGGAGAGATAGCAGCGGGCTGTATTTTTCAAAAAGGAGAAGCGCTTCTCTTATGAAACATTTCTGGGATTGATGCAGCTGGAGGGGTGGAGCCAAACTGCCGCTGTCTTACAATCTTCCTCTTAATTATACTTCGGTTCCAGGGGCAAAAATATACTCGCAATGCCTGCTGATTAGCTCCCAATGAAAACCTGGGGCGCATGCATGATAAGGAAGCCTTGTTTTGTTTTGCAGAGTTTAGTCAAGGACAAACTGGCCTGATGCTCATCGTGCGACTGACAGTCCTCCCAAACCAGGATGCTTTGAACACTGGAATGTTTTGCATCTCACCTTCGCAATGAATGAACTCGAGGGCCTGAGGACTCCAGGTAAAATAGTCTTTCTCCCTCTCTCAGCACACTCTCTCAATTCATAATAACATAAGGCTTAGCAACTGCATACAGCATTTCAAAGGTTCAGAGTGCACTGCAAACCTTACTACATATGTGACAGCACTGGAAAGAAACCAATGTTTTAGTGTGGCCCCACCAACACTTTGGAACTCTCTGCCTATTGACATCAGGCAGGTGCCCTCACTGTGATCTTTTCAGTGCCTTCTCAAAACATTGTTTTTGATTAGGCAAGCCTATCCAGAAATGTACCAGCCAAGGTGATGGTTAGAGCAGCTCAGGTTAGTCTTTCCCAACATGGTGCCCTCCAAAGATTTTGGTCTACAACTCCTGCAAGCCCCACTGGCTTAAAAGAACAGTGAATTCTTAGGAAGGAGGGAGAGAGAAAGAGAGAGAGAGAGAGAGAGAGAGAGAGAGAGAGAGAGAATGGAAGTTCCATACCAGGAGTGGCCCTCCTGATGTTGTTGCACTACAACTCCCATCTCCCCTCACCATTGCCCACGCTCACTGGGACTGATGGGAGTTGGAGTCCAGCAACATTAGGAGGGTCAAAGGTTTCCCAGCCACACTCTGCAGCAACCTTCACTGACCTGGTGCCCTACAGGTGTTTTGAACGACAATTCCCATCAGCCCCAGCCAGCACAGGTAGCCCAAAACATCTGGAGGGCACCAGGTTGGTGAAGTCTGAACCACAGGGTTGTTGTGAAGATTACGGAGAGAAACAATGAATCTTTAAGAGGGGCCAGGTGATTGTGGCAAATGCTGTTACTTCTGTCACCATAAACCAGCCTTTCAGAGATGAGTCCTGCTTCGAACTTATTGCAATCCTTGCATCTCCATCCATCCTCCTGGTTTCTCCATTCAGCCCCTTCTGCCTTTGGGGGGATTGGTCCATAGCTCAGTGGTACAGCATCTGCTCTGCATGCAGAAGGTCCTAAATTCAATCCCCAGCATCTCCAGGTAGGTACGGGAATGTTAGCTGCTTAAACTCTGAAGAGCTGATGCCATACAACGTCAACAGTACTAAGCTAGATGGAGCAATTAAGTCTGACTTGGTCTAAAGACAGCTTCCTACGTTCCCCGTGCCAGACTGGATCAGGCCAGTGGCCTATCTAGTCCAGCGTTCTGTTCCCACAGTGGGCAACCAGGTCGCCTAGGGGGAGCCCAAAATCCGGACCCAGGCGCAAGAGAACCCTTTCCTCCAGTGGTTTCCAACAAATGCTATTCAGAAGCAATACAAGTGATGCTTGTAGCCTCCAATAGCCCTATCCTCCATGAATTTGTCTAATGCTCTTTTCAAAGCATCTAAGTTGCTGGCCATTGCTACATCTTCTGGGATGTATCTTTCCATATCTTGAGTGTGCACTCAAGAAGTGAAGAAGTGCTTTGTCTGTCCTGGATTGCAATCGCCCACAAGCGCAATCGCTGGCACCAGACCCATTTAAAGTCAGGGGCTCTTGTAGGGGAAAGCCAGACAGGCTGAGAGTGTTTGTTCCGAAGATTGTCTCTGACAGAACACCCGAGCAACCGGTGTTTCAACTCAAGGGGCCTCTGGCTAGAAATGGCAGGCTCATTTCGGCACTGCAGCCAGTGCTCTTAAAAGCTTCTGAACGTTAGCAGACAGCCTCAGAGAACTTGGGCGGGGGGGGGGGGAGAGCGGGGAGCCATTAAATCCAAGCCACCTTTGTTCTGCTTGTTTAAACACTCACTCAGGGTGATGCAGTATCGAAGACAAATTGGGACGGCGAGAGAGCCTGGGTAAAACGGATGTAAAAGAAACCTGTTTGTGGGGTTTATTTGTGACAGCGCAGAACACAACTTGCACACCCTTCTCTGTGCAACAGGAGTGAACAATTCAGCGCTGGGGGCGCTGGAAACTTCCCGGAGCTCTAAATTAAATGCTGGTTGTGCGTGTATGTGAGCAACTGCATCATTTGAATCCCCTCAATTGTGATGGACACTATCAAGCAGCGCTTCACACACTTCTGCCATGGCATTATAAATATGTATTTGCCTTCTGTGTTGCTGTTAGCAGGCTGCTGGCAGGAGTCTTCCCAGGTAAGGCATGAGCCCGCACCCTAGACTTGGCCATCCCAATGAGGGGGTGCAAGACCTGCTGATTCCTGGGGTTGGGGTGCTGTGGTGAAGGACATAGCTCAGGGGAGAAGAGCATCTGCTTTGCATGCAGAAAGCCCCGGGTTCAATCCCCAACGGATGCAGGAATAGGTGGGAATGTGCTACATCATAAATCCTGGCAATCTGCTGCCAGTCAGTGTTGACAATACTGAGCTAGATGGACCAACGATCTGACTGCAGCTTCCTGGGTTTGTAACAGTTCCGCATGGCTTTTCTACGGATCCAGGAGTAGCGTAGTCACTTGCCGAATGGGGCTCCCCCCCCCGCCCACCCCAAATCTGCTCTGAAGGTTTGGGGAACCCCTATCAGATATTTAGGGGGTTGCGGAGGGGGTGGCTTTGTGCAATCAGAAATCCTTGCACTGGGGAGATGGATTACTCAGTGCTACTTTGGGCGCAGTCCTTTAACTTTTATCTTATTCTTCAAGTTGCCCGTGTCCCTCTCTCCAACTTAACAGCTTCTGGGACTGGGATGTTCTCTGTTGCATTGCGCTGCTCTTTGCTCTATCGAATCCAAGCCCTGGCACAGTGCTTGCTACAAACAAAGCGAAATAAATGGGACACCAGAACCGCAGAGGGCGACACGGAAGCTCAGTGCCGCTCCGTAACGGCAAGTTCTGTCGGTTAACAAATGTGGGCGTTTAACAAAAGCCCAGTGTTTTGCTCCTCATAAAAAAGTCTGTGGCCTTCCAGTTTAATTGGAGGTCTTGTTATTTTTCTGCCAAGGGTGATAATGACAAAGGGATTAAAGGAGCCGGCCATGTGCTGAAAACTCCGGGAACAGATGCCCAAATTACTCTGAGCTGAAAACTGGCTGATTATGATCACCAAACACACAGCAGGTCGTCTTGTAGGAGCCCCGACAATGAGGAAGAATCCCCAAAGCATCCCCTGCCAACTTTTTTTTTTTAAAGGAAGAATTTTATAGCCTTTGATTTGAAACCTGGAAATCCAGACACTGAAGCGGAACCCCTGATCATCACGGCTTTCATTTTTAAAATGAATACAATTTCTAGACCTCATAGAAAACTGGAGCGACAAGCTTTGAGCAGTTTCTGCTAAAAGCAACATCAGAACATATGGCTTTGGATGATGATGATAATGATTTCTATACTGCACTTCATTTCAGGATCTCAGGGTGGTTTACAATATAAAGAAACAAAAATGCATAACACCCTGCTACACACACAGAGTTTAAAAGGCCATAGATTGTTTAAATAGCCAAAGGCCTGGGAGAAGAGGAATGTTTTCGCCTGGCGCCTAAAGATATGTAATGAAGGTGCCAGGCAAGTCTCCCTGGGGAGAGCATCCCACAAAAGGGGAGCTACTGCAGAAAAGCAGAAAATTGTATATAAAGCCAGCAAAGGAACAGCTCTGCTCAGTTTGCATAAATGCAATGCTGGGCTTCGGGTTGCAGATTTCAGAGGATGCCCAGGGGCAAGCAGCACAGAGTCACCAGGGGCAAAATGATGCCCCTATGTATAAAACGTTTTCTTACTGTGTAAGACGACTTGCTGGTTATTTCCAATAGCTTCTGCTTGGCTCTTCGCTCAGAGTCTCGAGCTTCCTGGAGGTCCTGCTTGAGCTGATCGGCCTCCTTCGCCCTGCACACAAGCAAAATACGAAAGAGGTCAAGGGCCTAAACGAGGCAGTGGTGGGCCAAATCCAACACCCTACCCTAGCCTTTGCCACCTTGGCAATGCTTCCACAGTTCTCTCCAGATGATCTGGACTCCAATTCCCACCATCCCCAGGCAGCAGAGCCATTTTGGACTACAACTCCCATCAACCCCCAGCCACCATGCTGGGAGCTGAAGTCCAAAATGGCTGTGCTGCCTGGGGATGATGGGAATTGCAGTCCAAATCGTCTGGATGGCACCCGGATGGCAAAGGCTGCCTCTACCCACAATGCTCTCCTTCCCCAAATGGCAGGAAACGGCAGCGCTTCATCCGTCTTGACTGTTGTCCAGGGAAGGAGAAATGAAATGAGTGGGTGAGGGGGTAGGGAGAGAAAATCTGGTTTTTGACTGTTGTCCAGGACAGGTTCTGCTTCCCACCCCCCACCCTCCCCAGCAGCAGAAGCTTCTATCTTCTAAAATGTAGGCTGCAGAACTTTTTGCCCTCCGGATGTTGCTGAACAACAATTCCCCACCAGTTCTAACCCCTGGCCATGGTGGCTGAGGCTGATGGGAAATGGAGTCCAACAGTATCCAGAGGGGCAGAGGTTCCCCCAGCCTTGTTCTACACGCTAATCTCATGCCACTAAGGGTGGTTTGGACCACCCATCTAAGGAAAGACAAGCACCACTGAATTACGGCATTGGAGGTTTCAAGAACCACTGCCTACCCCTCATCCTCGACAGGTTCCTCTGAAGCGGTTGAGGGGGTGGGGTGGGGGGTAAAGAGGAGAGAGAAAATAAGTAATCAGCTCTTCTGAACAATATCCGGCGTTGATGTTTTTGGCAAGTGGGGCGGAGGTATAAAGGAAGGAGGAGAAAGTTACCAAGCGGGCAAAGACAGAAGCCCAGACACAGGAGTGGGGGAAAGTAGTAGTTCAGAATGAAATTAAGGCTATTGTTAATTCACCCACTAATGAATGCAATTTATGACAAAAGCCCTTGGCAGCGGCCCTTGTATGCCCAGAGGACCACGGAGACGGAGGCCTGGCGTGCGGTAGGAGCCTCGTGATTGGCCGGGAGAGGAGGGGGAGATCTGGAGCGAGATATTGGGACAAGGGAGGGGGAGAGTAATGAATTTGGTGTTTTAATATCTAGAGGCGAAAAACTTAATTAATGGCATCTGAGTGCTTTGGAGACGGCAGCGTGGCGGTTCTTGAGCAGCTGAAGACCCAGTGGGGGCCCAGGCCCGAGGGCTTGGCAGGATGGTGAATGCTCAGCCGAAGTGTGTGTGTGGCAATGGGGGAAACTAGGGGTTGCAGTGGGGCCAGGGTGTGTGTGAAAAGGATGGGATCACAACACGCCATCCCAGGGAAATCAAGGAGTTCACCTGTACTGAACTGGTTTATCAGAGGCATCTCATTGAACTTTGTCTAGTGCTTCAGATCATTCCATGCTCATTGGCCATGCCCACACCTGAAGGACCAGGTGAATAGCCTGGGAGTCATTTTGGACTCACAGCAGTCCATAGAGGTGCAGGTTAATTCCAGGGTGGCTGCTCCATCTGGTACGCCAGCTGAGAACTTACCTGTCCTGCCAGGGTAGTGCATGCTCTGGTTATCTCCTACTTGGACTACTGCAACGCGCTCTACAAGGGGCTACCTTTGAAGGTGACCCGGAAACTACAACTAATTCAGAACGTGGTAGCTAGACAGGTGACTGGGAGCGGCGCTAGGAAGGTATAACACCGGTCCTGAAAGACCTACTTTGGCTCCCAGTACGTTTCATGGTGCTGACCTGTAAAGCCCTAAATGGCCCTGTATACCTGAAGGAGTGTCTCCACCCCCATCATTCAGCCCCAACACTGAGATCCAAATCCGAGGATCTTCTGGCGGTTCCCTCACTGCAAGAAGTGAGGTTACAGGGAACCAGGCAGAGGGCCTTCTCGGTAGTGGCTCCCTCCCTGTGGAACGCCCTCCCATCAGATGTCAAGGAACTATCTGACTTTTAGAAGACATATGATGGCAGCCCTTTTTAGGGACGTTTTTAAAGTTTGATGCTTTATTGTGTTTTTAATATACTGTTGGGAGCTGCCCGGAGTGGCTGGAGAAACCCAGTCAGATGGGTGGGGTACGAATAATAAAATTAGTAGTAGTAGTAGTAGTAGACTTTAATTTTGTGCTACACTGGACACAACCCAATGCCAACAAAAACAAGGAATGAAATGCTGCAAAGCCCCCAAGCTTCCCTCCCCGCCTGACCTTCGCTCCGACTCTTCCGCCATCTTCAGCGCCAGCATCTCTGCCTCCAGCACCTTCTGCTCCATCAGCCGTTTCTCCTCCTCGGTCCGGATGGCCGTGGCTTTGATCCGCTGCATCTCCTGCTCTGCCTCGGCGGCTTTCTGAGCCAGGAGCTTCGCTTCCTCTTCCGTGATCTGAGCTTTCTCGGCCAGCAAGTCGGCCGTCTCTTCGGATCTCATCTGGGCAAGAAGGGTGGAGAATTACACACATGGGGCTCTGACGCAGCAGCGATGTGCCACTGGTGAGGCTAGAAGCCATGACGGCTATGCTCTGCCTCCACAGCTGGAGGCAGCAATGTTTGCGTGGCAATTCCCGCCCCCTCCCACAGTTGGAATAAATAGACACCGGACAACAGAATTTAGTTTAATGGGCGAAAATGGCCACAACTTTATTGATTACAGGTAATCAATTGGCTTTAGGCATTGGCCCTACCCGACTATCCGGTATAACCGGGAAGGGTTAAGCACCAACAGGGGGAGCCCCCGAGCTGCTGCTGAAGGAAAGAAAAGGGGCGAGCCAGGGCTGCCCCGACTTTAAATGCCCCCTAGAAAGCCCGCCCCCACCGCCAGCCAATTGGCTGGCGTGGTGAATAATGAATAATAATGAGCCCGGGAATCCCTGAGCCCCCCGTGGGGCTGCAGCCAGCCCCGTGAGTGTAGATGGGGGCGTGAGCCCGCAACCCCCCCCTCCTTATGTCGGGAGTGGCTTTCTGAATACCAGTTGCTGGAAAGCGCAGGGGGTGAGAAGGCTCTTGACCTCCAAATTCTGCTAGCAGGTTTCTCACTGGGACATCTGGCTGGCCACTGTAAGAACAGGATGCTGGACTAAGGTGAGCCACTGGTTTGATCCAACAGCCTCATCTGATGTTCTTATGGTCTGTGGTCAAAAGTCTTCCTAATAGATGGGCAATGAAAACGACCCATGTCACCCCTCACAGCTGCAAAGAGGTTCATATTGGAAGGATAAATGCCCACTTTGTACTACTCGGGGGCCTGAAGATCTCACTGCCCTTTCTGCAATTGGAGCTGGAGCTTATCACAGTAAATCTCATTTGGATACCTAAGAACACAAGGAGAGCCTGCTGGATCAGGCCAAGGGCCCATCTAGTCCAGCATCCTGTTATCAGTGGCCAACCAGATGCCTATGAGAAGCCCACAAGCAGGATCTTATCACACTCCCCTCCTGCAGTTTCCAGCAACTGGTATTCAGAAGCATTACTGCTTCCAACAGTAAATGGAGAACACAGCCATCCTGGCTAGTAGACGGCAATAGTTGTCTTCTCCGTCAATTTGTCCAGTCCTCTTTTAAAGCCATCTAAGGTTGATGATAAGGTAGGGACATGGGTGGCACTGTGGGTAAAAGCCTCAGTGCCTAGGACTTGCCGATCGAAAGGTCGGCGGTTCGAATCCCCGCAGCGGGGTGCGCTCCCGTCGCTCGGTCCCAGCGCCTGCCAACCTAGCAGTTCGAAAGTACCCCCGGGTGCAAGTAGATAAATAGGGACCGCTTACTGGCGGGAAGGTAAACGGCGTTTCCGTGTGCTGCGCTGGCTCACCAGATGCAGCTTGTCACGCTGGCCACGTGACCCGGAAGTGTCTCCGGACAGCGCTGGCCCCTGGCCTCTTAAGTGAGATGGGCGCACAACCCTAGAGTCTGTCAAGACTGGCCCGTACGGGCAGGGGTACCTTTACCTTTACCTTAAGGTTGATGACCTTCAGTGTCTCCTGAGGGAGCGAGTTCCACAGTTTAATTAGGGGTGAAAAAATTCTTTCTTTTCCCCTGTTTGGATTTAGAAGGAAAACCAGCTCAAATGGGCTGGTGACCACAGGAGCAATTTAAACTTATCCTGCTGTGGGTGGCACAATTGCCTTTGCCAGCTTAGTGCCCTCCACATGGGGCTGATGGGAGTTGTAGTCCAACGAGAGTGGTGAAGGCTCCCTGCTGCACCATCAGAGTCCATTTTCCCAACACTGTGGTGACCAGCTGCCCCATCCTTTGCTTCTGAAACCTGGATGATGTGGGAGCTTCTGCATGCAAAGCAGATGCTCTACCCCTGAGCTACTGCCCCTCACCTAAAAATAAACTAAGTTTCTAGTCCTTATGCTTCTAAAAAAAAGAATAGCTGATTAAACAGGAAGTTGTCTTATACTGAACCAGACTACCATCTACACTGATTGGCAGAGGCTTTCCAGGGTTTCACTTATAGGAGACAGGTATTGAACCTGCAACCTCCTGCATGCAAAACAGGTGTTCGATCACAGAGCCACACTCCTTCCCCAAACGAGTAAGCTTGATGTTGCAGAGTCTGAATACAGGTGAATGGAGCATCTACTCTGACTGGTAAGGAGAAGTCTTGCTGAGGAGTGGGGTCTTGCTTCTACCATGCATGTCTTGTTAACAGGACCATGCCATTGCAGTGGGCAGCTAGTTATCCCTGCAGAGAGACTTACCAAGGCTTCATTAGCCATCGTTGCCTCATCTTTCAACTGCAGCAGCCTCCTCTCCAACTCGTCCCTCGTCCGCTCTGCCTCTTCTCGCATCTGCTTCTCTCGAGCTAAACGCTGGCGTTCCATCTTGGGGGGGTGGGGAGACGCAGGGTGGGGAAGCGAGGACGGCAGAAAATAGTACATAAGCAACCAAGGCATGCAGATCGTAGGCATTCTGCACCGAACAGAAATCCAATTTATCAGGGCCGTGCGGCAGAATTCAGACATCTGCTCACCACAATCAATTCCACTTCCGCAATCCAGGTTTACAAAGCAATTTAGATGCTTTGTTAAAGAGCAGGGAGATTTCGAGGCACAGGGTTTGCTGCCAGGCTGCTGGTAGACACTTTGGAAGAGGCCGGCATGGAGGTTCTCAGTGGACTCCCTGCTCTCTGCACCTTCAGATTTAGGAGCCCTCCCTCAGCAATTAATTTTTTCCCTTCTTGCTCTTCATTATCCTCTGAAAATTTTGAACCATTTCCCCGCTCTAGGTAAACAACACATTTAACCTCTGTTGGCCATATCTTGGTGTGCAGGAAGGCTAAGAGAGACAAAATCAGTTAAAAACTAGCCGTAGAAGTCAGAAAAACGGCTAGAGATGCCTGCAGAAATTTTAAAAGTTATGCACTAGGTGCTGGAAATTCAACGGCGATTGGGCCTGCCTGAGGGGGTGCAGCAGAATGGAGCCCACAATGCTCTAGTGGATTTGAGCCATGCATCCAAGTAACAATGACCTCAGTGATCACACAGTGATGTAAGGAGCCAGGCAGTTCTCAAGGTACCCTTGGCCAAAGTTGCTAAGGGCCTTGCAAATGCATACAAGACCCTGGAATCTGAACCGGTAGTATATGGGTAGACTGTGCAACCTTTAAAACACTGGTGCTCTGTGCTGGAGTTAGTCTGTCCTCGCCAGCAGTCCAGCTGCAGCATTCTGCACCAAGAGGAGCATCCAAACCAGTCCCAAGGGGAGCACCCAAATTTTTTTTTTAAAGCCTTTATTGCACTGGGTGACACTCCCTGAGACAAAACACGTTTCCCTCCTCCTAGAACTCAGGATGCATCCCCCATTTTCCTTTCGACACATTCGGTTTTTTACAGCTCAAGTTGACCTGGGTGCAAGGCAGCCAACCCAGAGAGACTATCATCGCTGCCCATGGAACTAAGCCAAAAGCCGTAACATCACTGACACAGGCAAATCCAAGACAAGTACTTTTAACCTAACCTTCCCGTAAGCTGAGCGTCCCCTGGCACACGGAGGCACTTGGCCGCGGCCGCGGCCGCCTAACCGCTTCCCCAGAAGTGGCAATCTATATTCCGAGCAGCACCGCGCAGATTAGCTGTGTGGGTTTCAGCAAGTAGAAAAGGTCTACAAGCAGAAAACCATGATTCATACAATCCAATTTGCTGATATGTGCTCATTGGCTCCATGCTGCGGCCTGAGATGCGGCGCGTCTGCTGGCTGGGCTGACCCGCAGCGGATAAAAGGAGGCCAGGCTCGGAATTAGCATGCAGGCGGCATGCGGCGGAAGAGCAGCTCGCATTCCATCACCATCTAATTAGGACACGGCTCCCCCTCCCTCCCACAACCGCAGCCAACCTCCCCAAGACACAGCAAACATACGAGCGCCACGACCGAGAAATAGGTTTACAGAGCAGCAGGGGAGAGGATGGACAGCATTTAAAGATCGTATGCCCGCAGAGTGGACACCGTTTTTCTGGCCCGGTAGTTTGGGCACTGGCAGCTGCAAGGATGCGCTGCTGCAATGCACTCTATGTGGGGCTTCCCCAGCGATTGACCCGGAAACTGCAGTCAGCGCAAGATGCTGCAGCGTGGTTGTTGGCGGGAGGGAGACCGCGTCAGCGCAGAACACCTCTGCTCAGGGATCCGCACAGGTTGCCCATTTCTTACAGGGCCAAGTTCAAGGTGCTACCGTTGGTATACAAAGCCCCTGAAGGCTTGGGACCGGTTTACTCCTGGGATTGCCTTGCCCCAGTGGGATCCCAAAGTGGGCAGGACTAGCTGGAGCCGCTCTGAGATGTAAGAGGGTGGGCAGGGGGCTTGCTGGAGGTGTAACTGACTCTCAGGCTTTGAAAAGCTGGCAACATTGGATCACGCTCATCAATATTGTTGAATTAAGCTAATTAGTTTGAGTTGAGTTTTGAATAAATGGGCAACTAAGCATTTGCATTTAGAGTATCAGGGCCAGTATACGTGAAGGAGCGTCTCCACCCCCATCGTTCAGCCCAGACACTGAGGTCCAGCGCCGAGGGCCTTCTGGAGGTTCCCTCACTGCGAGAAGTGAGGTTACAGGGAACCAGGCAGAGGGCCGTCTCGATAGTGGCCTGCCCTGTGGAATGCCCTCCCATCAGATGTCAAGGAAATAAACAACTATCTGACTTTTAGAAGACATCTGAAGGCAGTCCTGTTTAGGGAAGTTTTTAATGTTTGATGTTTTATTGTGTTTTTAATATTCTGTTGGGAGCTGCCCAGAGTGGGTGGGGAAACCCAGCCAGATGGGGAGGGTATAAATAAATTATTATTATTGTTGTTGTTGTTGTTGTTGTTGTTGTTGTTGTTGTTGTTGTTGTTGTTATTTGCAATTAACTCTTAGTGTTTATTCCTGTGCTGCAGGGGGTTGAACTAGATCACCCTTCCATCTCTACAATACTATGATTCTATGGAATTTTATTGTGTTATTATCTTCCTTAGCGGGTTGTGAAAACCGCTATTCTGAATAATGCATTTTATAAGGTAGGGTAGAGGGCAGTGGGGTGACTTTATGGTACCAAGAGAGCTGTGACCCCAAAATGTTGGGGAAACACTGCCTTACCCCATATATGCCAACCCAAACACACTGATCTGTGGAACTGGCCGCGTTACAGGTTCCACATAATGCCTGTTCCGCATTTGTAATAACACAATCTTAGTGCGGCGACATCTACACTTTGGAACTCCCTGCCTGTTGACATCAGGCAGGCACCTTTGCTGTACTCTTTGAGAGAATGCATAAGCCAGTTGCTGCTATCTCTATTCACAAGAGGCTGCTCAATCTGTTACACAATGGGCTTCCACTAGCATAGCTGTACTATGTAGTACTGGATCCCTCTGTTATGAAACTTTAAAACTGCCCTGCCCCGAGTTTCCAGAAATCTGCAAAATTTGCCTGGGATTGTCAGCTCTTGCCCGCGGGTGCTGAACGTTCACAGCAATTTCCTTTGGAGAGATCCCGAGTGAGCAATTCAAATAGTTGTTAAGAAGCTGTTAAGAGGACCCTCCCTTTCTCTGACCTGTTTCCTGGCCTTCTCCTCCCGGGCCTGGGCTTTCATCTGCTGGACTTCCAGGGAGTCTGCTTTCCTCCTCCTCATGAACAGGTCGTGGTTTCCAATGCACAGCTGCAGGATCTGGTCCAGCCAATAAGAAGAGGAGAAGAGGATGGCAAGTTTGTGTTCACGCCACCAAGCATTTGAAAGCAAAACACTTTTGTCCTCTACCCCACCTTGTTGCACAGAACTGCATGCCAACCCCACCATGTTGAGACATGCCACAGCCATCAATAATGCCAAGGGAGAACTGTTTCTGGTGGCTTCCATGTAGCAACTGTAATGTCTAGATCAGACTCACGTGACCATCATAGGAAGCTGCCTTATACCAAATCGGACCATTGGGACATCTAGCACAGCTTTATTTACATCAGGAGTGGTGATGCTGTGGTCCTTTAGATGTTGTTGGACCACAACTCCTGTCATTCCTGACTATTGCCTATGCTGGCTGAGGCTGATGGGAGCCCACAGTCCAATAATATCTGAAAGACCACAGCTTCCCCCATTCCATACACTGGCTGGCTGTCTTTCCTGACCCTACCTAGAGATGCTAAGGATCAAACCTGAGACTCTGCCAATGAAAAGAAATTCTTCCCAATGAAAAGAAAAGGAAGATTCTAGTCCTCATGATTCTAAATAAATGGTAAATAGTAACCTGGTAACCTGCCTTGTGCCATTAGACTGCTGGTGCGTTTAGCTCAGTGTTTTGGCCAGCTTGTGAAACACAAATGGGACTACAATCCCAAAAGCAAAACAAACATTTAAAACAATATACAACAATGGATTTAAAGTTTAAAATGTGATAGGCGTATAAACACATAAAAACTTTAAGATAAACTTCTGTAGAGAAATGACTCAGAGTCACCCGTGGATCCGAGTTTGGGAATTTTCTTAACAAACTAGTTTGAATTGGAGGGTGGTCTGCGCCTACAGATCTGTGTGCAGAATCTGGCGACCATCCGGGTCGTCTTGTGATCTTTGCCTAACAGGAGAAGATCATATTTTTGCTTTTCTGGGAGGTCAGCAAACCTCACCAGCAGGGGGTCAATGGTATGTATCTCTACGTGCCTCATCGTAAAAGGGACATCTAAAAAATATGTGTTCAGAGCTTTCTATATCCCCCAATGGGCAGGCGCAAAGTCTCTTGACATATGGGGCTTTTTTAAAGGATCCTTCCAAGACCAGCAAGGGCAGAGCTTTGCTCAGTGTTTTATTGCTTCCTTTGTTACTTATCCTTGGTATTTTATTCCAATTCAAATTGCAGTACAATAAAATGCAAAATGAGAAAGAGAGTCAGTGGTGGCATAGTGGTTAAGAGTGCTGCACTAGGACCTGAGAGACCAGGGTTAAAATCCCTGGCTTAGCCATAAAGCCCGTTGGGTGAACTTGGGCCATTCCCTTTCAGCCTAATCTACCTCGCAGGGTAGCCGTGAGGATAAGGTGGGGAGGAAGAGAACCATGCAGGCCGCCTTGAGCTTATTGGAGGGAAGGTGGGGATTTAAGTATAAAAATGCCATTAAAAAACAATATGACTATTTAGTGCAATTGGATGTGCCATCTCCCATCTTCAGCCAACTCCCATCGGGCCCAACATGGCATGGCTGCGCTGGCTGGGGTAGTTGAGATTTGTAGTCCAGAACATCTGTAGGGCATCACGTTGATGCAGACGGACTGGCAGCAGTTCTCCAATAAATAATAAACACATGAGTGGGTTGGAAATTAGCTGTCTCTATAAGGCAGACCGATCCTTGAAGCTCAGAAAAAACTCTGGGTGAAAAGGGGGAATGGAGACGAACCCCCTTTATACACGGCTCTTGAATGGGGATCAGCGGGAGGAGTTGGGAGGAAAAACAATGGAGGCCCTGAGCACAGTGTTTGACCACAGAGCTTGCAGTTTCCCCAGCGCTCCAAGAGACCAATTTTCCAAGCAGAATGTGCCAGCTATTCAGACAAAGCCAGGCCTCTGCTGCTGCTGTTGCAGCAACAATGGCGGGCTTGTTCCCAGCCTTTCATGCAAGAGAAAGAGTCACTCACAAAACCATCAAGAAGCTTGCTTCTACTATCCACTTTCTCTCTCTCCACATCCACCCTGAGATTAAGACTCTCATGCTATATATATACATACATATATATAACCAGAAGCCTGCCACTACTATGCACTTCATTCCCTTCCCTCCTTCTTTCTTTCTCTTTCTTTCTTTCTTTCTTTCTTTCTTTCTTTCCTCTCTCTCTCTCTCTCTCTCTCTCTTTCTCCCCCCCCAACACCCTGAGATTAAGAGTCTCATGCTCTCTCTCTCTCTCTCTCTATAAATAGGGCCATATAGCTCAGTACTGTCTACACTGACTGGCAGTGGCTCTCCAGGGTTTCAGACAGGGCATCTCTTCCAGCCCTTACCTGGAGATGCCTTTGGGGACAGAACCAGGGACCTTCTGCATGCCAAGCAGCATCATACAGCTGGGCTGAGGCTGGTGGGAGTTGCATCCCATAACATCTGGAGGGCATCAGGCTCATACAGATGGGCTGGCACCGGCTCTCTCTAGGTCTGCAGTGCGATTTGTGCCTTTCCAGCTCCCCAAAGCCATCATCTGTTTCATCTCCTGCACACCAGCATTTCGCGCAGCCCGGGGTCCCTTAGCCTTGGAAGGATGCCTGGCTGCTCAGCAGAGAGGCTGCCACAATGCAACTCTTGCATCCTCCTTCAGACTTACCAGCTTATTCACACGCAGCTTTGAAGAGTTGAATTTGAAGACGTCGATCTTTTTGTCCAGAGGCTTTATCGTAAACTGCGAGGGAGGAAGAAGTTGTCAAAGAGTGGAGTGAAAATGAAATAGAGGAAGAGGGGTGCGCCCTGATAGCCCAGTCTTATGCACATAGGAAAGGAGCGCCAGAATCTCTCTTATACCAAGTCAGAGCAGTGGTCCATCCAGCCCAGTACTGCCAACACTGACTGGCAGCAGCTTTCCTGAGTTTCAAGCAGGGAACCTTTTCCCCAAGCCTACCTGGCACTGAACTTGGAAGAATCCTTTGCATGTAAAGCATATGCTATAGGCACTGAGCTATGGGTCAGAACCCCGGTCCATACTGAGTCAGAGCCTTGGATCAGTTTGGTTCAATATTGTTTACCCTGACTGGCAGGGGACATTCCTATCCCTAGGAAGAGATAGCTGGGACCTTCTGTGAAAAGTAGACCCTCCACCCTCTGAGCTACAGCCTTTCCTTTTAAAGGTGAATGCACCTTGAAGTTTTACTTTCCAGCTAGCTGACAACACAGAATCAGTCAAAGGACAATCACTCCCTCAGGTTGGGGAAGTTCAGTGTTCTCCAGCCATTTTCACACCCCACGAACCTAGATCCCACAGCAAAGCCAGTAAGCAAAGGAGAAGAGCGATGGATGAGAAATCAAACAAATGCCTAGAATCCAGCCAGTAGCCACTGCAGCAAAATTTGTGGCGACCAATTTGAGAGATCTGTTCCTTCATCCTCCCCTCACTCGGAATACCCAGGTAAAGTGGAAATCAAGGCATTCTTTGCTCACAGGCTGCACTGAATAAAAAGTCTTATTTCTCAGTGCATGGAGAGAGAGAGAAAGAGTGCCAGCCTGTCTCTTTTCTTAGCAAAGAAGCGTGTTGGGTTGTTTCTGTCAGGAGCTCGTCCTACACTCGAGTAGGACCCTGGCAGAGACACATGCCCGACTGGAATGTTCTCTCCCTCCTGGTCGATCGTTCAGGAGCTTCAAAAGCTTTCTTCTGCCCGAACATCACAGCGACCGATGCCAACAGACATCGGCACACTTAGGGATCTGCAGAGTCTTTGCAGTTCGTGTGACAGACCTCAACAACTCAGCATTTTGCCTAATCTACTTTATTTACATATAAACACACACGGAGCACTGCAACATGGCTCCCTCTCTCTCTAGCATCAGACAGCAAAGAGAAAAAGGACAATAGTCCCACTTCATGGAACACAGTAACACAAACATCCTGTCTCCGTCACTTCCCACTCTGTGGAATCAAAACATACACCATCATGCAATAGACAACAATCCCATGACTGCAATCACGGAGCAGGAATTCTAACAGTTTTGCCAGGTGAGTCACCAGCCTGCCTAGAATGGGAAGCAGAGCTGCAGTGCTGTATAGTGGTCAGAGTCTTGGACTAGAACCTGGGAGACCAGGGTTCAAATGCCGACTCGGCCGTAAAGGTCACTGTGTGACCTTGGGCCAGTGGCTGCTTCTGAGCCTAGCCACTGGGTCATAGTGGGGATTAAATGGGGGACAGGGGTGAACCAGAAACACCACCTTGAGCTCCTGGGGAGGGGAGGTGGGTTTTAAACACAAACAAACTAAATAATAGGACGAAACAGCAGCACGGAGCCTCAGATCTCAACTCTGGCAGGGGGGGGAATCCCTGAGGATTTGCTGCCAGCCACGAGGACCACTGCAGTCCCAGACGTGCGCTTGATAATAGACACACTAGATTAAACACCTCTGATGTTTCGGTACAGCTGTCCTGCGCCACTATTAAGCCCCGCTTACTATCGTGTCACATCTCGCTTGCGGCCGTCTTATTACGAGGATTATTGACGTGATAAAAGATGACAGATCCTTCCCTCGAGGGGCGGCTCTATTACAGGCTATTATGTTCCAGGCCCAGCAGACGAGGTCCTGGGCCTCTCAATTCCTGGTGGAATATTGTACAGTGTTATGGGAGGGAAGGGAGGGGGAGAGACATAACTGATAAAACTTGTGTAAAGCCAGAAAAGGGAGAGGGGAAAAGGATCTCGCAAGAATGCTAACTGTAATAGGATTATGCATCCAAAACTGTAATTTTTTAAAAAAGAGTACATCATAAACTAATTGCTTCAAGCTTCAGCAATAATAACTGAAGTAGAACGCCTTAAGCTCTTGGCCCTCACCAGATAATGTTTAAATGTTATCAATCCTCCTTTTCCTGCCCGCCTCCCACTAAAAAAGAAAAAAGCCGCTGCTAATTTCGTCTGCATTGCACTGTTTGCATCAGTCTTAAAAGAAAGAAAACTGCAGTCAACGTATTCCAGGACAGGGGAGCGATTAAAACCGGTGACTTTTTAAAGAACTGCAGAGTCCAGGAGGTTAAGGGATTCTCTGCAGTCCTGCTATATCGGGGATAGCCAGCATGGCGCAAGTCAGACGCTGTTGGACTACAACTCCCATCATCCCTGCCTCCTGGCCATATTGTCCAGGGTTGATGGGAGGCAAGGTGCAGCCACTCTAGCCATCCCTGTGCCAGACAGACCACAGTCAAAACGGCATTATTATTATTATTATTATTATTATTATTATTATTATTATTAGAATTTATATACACTGTATGTAGGTAAAGGTAAAGGACCCCTGGACAGTTAAGTCCAGTCAAAGGTGACTATGGGGTTGCGGTGCTCATCTTGCTTTCAGGCCGAGGGAGCCGGCGTTTGTCCACAGACAGCTTTCCAGGCCATGTGGCCAGCATGACTAAACCGATTCTGGAGCAACAGGACACCCTGACAGAAACCAGAGCACACAGAAACACCATTTACCTTCCCACCGCAGCAGTACCTATTTATCTACTTGCACTGGCGTGCTATCAAACTACTAGGTTGGCAGGAGCTGAGACAGAGCAACAGGAGCTCACCCCGTCGCAGGGATTCGAACCGCTGACCTTCTGGATCAGCAAGCCCAAGAGGCTCAGTGGTTTAGACCACAACGCCACCCGTGTACACTGTACATTTAATGAACTCTTTTAGTGCTTTAACAGCTGTTGGTTTGTTGTCTTTACATTCCACCTTTCTCCCTGCAAAGAGCTCAAGGTGGCAGATATGGATCTCCCCCTCCTCATTTAACCCCCACAGCAGCCCTGGGAGGCAGGTCAGGCTCAGAGATTGTGATAGGCCCAAGCTTCACATGGCCAAGTAGGGATTCGAACCTTGGTCTCCCAGGTGCTTGTCTGACCCTCTAACCACTTCCACTGCATGACTTCCCCTAAAGTATCCTGGGAACTGGCAGCAGGAAGGAATAGGTGAATGAGGCCACTTTCTCAATTCAGCAAGCACTTGGACAGAGACACGGGGAGGGGGGGACAAGAGGAGTGTGCCTTACCTCCTTATCGCTGTAAGAGACGTTCCGAATCTCATTCCACGGAAATGAAATTTTGGGGGTCAGCCTGTTTTCCATATCATATATGTGCAGGCCCAAGGCATCCACGCCCAGCAGCAGCTCTGTTCCTTTCTTATTCTAAAGGAGAGAGAACATTGGATTTTTTTTTTAAGCAGAGCTTGCATAGCCATCTGTCATGGATCCTTTATTTTTTGAGATTCCAGCATTGCAAGGGGTTGGACTAGATGACAGTCAGGGTCCCTTCCAACTCTACAATTCTACATTGTCTCCATTTGAAATGGCTCAGAGAATCTGACACATGAATCCCACCTAAGTCTATCCAACCATGGCCCAACAAAATTCTACAGTAGGGGTTGCCAATGCAGCACCCGTGGGTGAACATCCACACACAGAGGCTTTCCCTTGTGCCTACTGTTTCCCCTGGTCAAGTTGTCTCCCCCCCAAAAAAATAATAATTAGGACCATAGGTACTGATCAAACCATTGGTCCATCTGACTCAGTATTGCCTCCGCTGCCTGGCCGTGGCTCTTCAGGGTTCCAGGCAGGAAATCTCTCCTAGATCTTCCAGGAGATGCCAGGCATTGAACCTGGGACTTTCTGCAGGTAAAGCAGACACTCTACCACTGAGCTCCAGCCCTTCGCTTAACACACACACAAAGCTGCCTTATATGAATTCAGAGCCTTGCTATAAGGCACCTTATGGGCTTTTGCACAAAAATGTAAAATGAAGCTGGATCGGAGACTGAAAAAATGTTGGTTTCTAGAAAGCAGAAGAGTTGGGTGCTATTATGGAGCAAGGGATTTGTAGAAGTCTATAAAGCTGATAAACAAAGAATCAGAAGTATTTTCTTTTCTTCCTTTTACAGTGGTACCCCGCAAGACGAACGCCTCGCAAGACGGAAAACCCGCTAGACGAAAGGGTTTTCCGTTTTGGAGGCGCTTCGCAAAACGAATTTCCCTATGGGCTTGCTTCGCAAGACGAAAGCCCATAGGGAAATCTCCGGGACAGCGGGGAAGCGCAGCACGTCTTCCCCACTGTCCTCGGACCTCCTCCGAAGCCTGGCGGGGGGGGGGGGCGGAGGGAAATAAAGGGGAAAAAATTTATTCCCCCACCGCCAGGTGTGGGGCTGGAGCGGGGAAGCCCGAGCTTCCCCCTCCCCCCGAACGGAACCCAGAGCCATGCCGAAGCTGCGCGCAGCTTTGGCATCGCTCTGGGAGCTTGCGGGGCTGGGGGAGGAGGAAGCCCTCCGCCAGCCTCCAAACCATGTCGGGCGACTGTCCCCCGAGTTTGCGGGGCTGGTGACGGGGAGGAGCAGGCTTCTCCCCCCGCCAGCCTTCCAGCCAAGTTGGGGGGCAGCGGGAAGGGCGAGCTGCGCCTCTCCCGCTGTCCCCCGAGTTTGCGGGGCTGGCGACGGGGAGGAGCAGGCTTCTCCCCCCGCCAGCCTTCCAGCCAAGTCGGGGGGCAGCGGGAAGGGCGAGCTGCGCCTCTCCCGCTGTCCCCCGAGTTTGCGGGGCTGGCGACGGGGAGGAGCAGGCTTCTTCCCCCCCCCCCCCGCCAGCCTCCAAACCATGTCGGGAGACAGCGGGATGGCGCGCTGCGCCTCTCCCGCTGTCCCCCGAGTTTGCGGGGCTGGCGACGGGGAGGAGCAGGCTTCTCCCCCCCGCCAGCCTTCTAGCCAATTCGGGGGACAGCGGGATGGCGCGCTGCGCCTCTCCCGCTGTCCCCCGAGTTTGCGGGGCTGGCGACGGGGAGGAGCAGGCTTCTCCCCCCGCCAGCCTTCCAGCCAAGTCGGGGGACAGCGGGATGGCGCGCTGCGCCTCTCCCGCTGTCCCCCGAGTTTGCGGGGCTGGCGACGGGGAGGAGCAGGCTTCTCCCCCCGCCAGCCTTCCAGCCAAGTCGGGGGACAGCGGGATGGCGCGCTGCGCCTCTCCCGCTGTCCCCCGAGTTTGCGGGGCTGGCGACGGGGAGGAGCAGGCTTCTCCCCCCGCCAGCCTTCCAGCCAAGTCAGGGGACAGCGGGATGGCGCGCTGCGCCTCTCCCGCTGTCCCCCGAGTTTGCGGGGCTGGCGACGGGGAGGAGCAGGCTTCTCCCCCCGCCAGCCTTCTAGCCAAGTCGGGGGACAGCGGGAAGGGCGCGCTGCGCCTCTCCCGTTGTCCCCCGAGTTTGCGGGGCTGGCGACGGGAGGAGCAGGCTTCTCCCCCCCGCCAGCCTTCTAGCCAAGTCGGGGGACAACGGGAATGGCGCGCTGCGTTTCTCCGCTGTCCCGGACGGCTTTCAAAAGCCTGCCTTCAAAAGCCGTCAGGGACAGCGGAGAAACGCGCTGCCTTTCTCCGCTCTCCCGGGAAGGCAGGCAGGGGGGAGCAAAGACTTTTGCCCCCCGCCGGCCTTCAGAAGAGGTCCTGGACCTCTTCTGAAGGCTGGCGGGGGGCAAAAGTCTTTGTCCCCCCTGCCTGCCTTCCCAGGGGCTTTTAAATCGCCCCGGACAGGGAGAAGTCCTCTGCTGTCCTGGGCGATTTTAAAATGCCGCCCGCCAGCATTTTAAGATCGCCCCGGACAGTGGAGAAGTCCTCCGCTGTCCCGGGGTTTTTTAAAATGCTGGGGGTGGGAAGAAAAGCCCTTGTCCCCCCCCCAGCCTTCAGAAGAGGTCGGGGGACAGACTGTCCCCGGACCTGGTCTGAAGGCGGTTTCCCTAGGAACGCATTAATTGATTTTCAATGCATTCCTATGGGAAACCGTGCATCGCAAGACGAAAAACTCGCAAGACGAAGAGACTTGCGGAACGAATTAATTTCGTCTTGCGAGGCACCACTGTAGTTTTATGCTTGGTACTTGATGTGAAGTCGGAGCCTTGCTCCATATTGTCTACACTGACTGGCAGCAGCTCTCCGTGGTTTCAGTTAGACAGGGAAAATGCCCAGCCCTAACTGGAGACTCTGGCGATTGAACCTGGGACCTTCTACGTGCAAAGCAAAGCTCTTCTATTGAACTACATCTCTTCCCTGAATTAAGGTTGAAAAAAGCCAATGGAATAAGTTATGGTGTGTGTGTGTGTTGCTCACGACAGTGTATTCCATTTGCAAATGTGCCCACAAATCCAAAAAGCTTTGTTCTACAGGATCAACCTGGCCAAAGAGGGAGGGCAGGAGGAGGCAGAGCTAGAGCACTCAGGCTTCCCGAGGCAGAATGAACTGCAGCAGCAGTGACTCATTCATCCCCCTGGGGAAGCCTCTCAGCGGCCCTTTCCTGGTTGCAGGTAAGGCTAAGGCAGGAAAGCTGCCAGTACATCAAAGGTTCTGCATCAAACTCTCCTCTGCATTACGGAAGGAAGCTTTAGCAAAGCCAGAGTCTGCTGACCAGAGTCCTTCTGCACAACTGGTTCCCCTCTTCTTTTGTTCCAAGGGCCTCCTGCCCTCAAATCCCCACCACCACCAAAAAAAAGTGCAACGCAAAACTTGGGGCTTTTACCCGGATTGCAAAGTAGTTCACGCCGTACATCTCGAGGTCCTGGGCAATCTTCAGGTACTCCATTTCAGCTTCATCCCTGTAAATGTGAACAGTGGGGCAGACAGTTTAGAGCTGCAAAAGTTTGACAGAAACGGGACGTTGTGGAATATGCAGGGGACTGGGAGAGAACAAAGGAATAAGATGTGTTTTTAGCTTCACAGAGATATCACACAGCATGCTCAAGATGGTCTCAAGGTATTACACAAACACAAGCACACACACAGACTAGAGGCTGTGCCGCCACTCACTTTGCTTGCCAACTCCTTCTGGCAACAACCCCCCTCTGGCCAACCTTAATCCTCCCTTAAAGGTAAAGGTAAAGGTACCCCTGCCTGTACGGGCCAGTCTTGACAGACTCTAGGGTTGTGCGCCCATCTCACTCAAGAGGCCGGGGGCCAGCGCTGTCCGGAGACACTTCCGGGTCACGTGGCCAGCGTGACAACGCTGCTCTGGCGAGCCAGAGCCGCACACGGAAACGCCGTTTACCTTCCCGCTAGTAAGCGGCCCCTGACCGAGCAACGGGAGCGCACCCCGCCGCGGGGATTCGAACCGCGACCTTTCGATCGGCAAGCCCTAGGCGCTGAGGCTTTTACCCACAGCGCCACCCGCGTCCCTTGCACCTCCCTTAACCTCCCTTGCAGCTCCCTAAACCACCCTTCCTGGCAAAAAAACCAACCCACCTCCATTTGCAGCTGCCTGCCTGCCTTTCTCCCTCCTCCACTGCCCAGCAGCTCTCAGAAGTCTATTGTCACACCATAGTGCACATCACCACCTATCAGTGGCCAAGCAAACTGCTACATGATGACAACCTTCCCTTTTTATTATATGTAAGAGATATAAGCAAAAAAAGATCCACAGAAAATCCCTTCCTGCAGGTTTACTGCATCCTAATTTCTGTTAAAATGGATGTTCAGCAAAGGAAATATGACATTTTTATTTTCCCCCTTCCCGAACCCCCTAAATTTCAGGGGCATAGTTGATCACCCTTAGTGAAAACGAAGAGTTGTCCACTGCTGTGTTGTAGGGTGCAGTAGTGGTTGGTGCTACTGATACTCAAAGGGCAGAAGGCAGAGGTACCAAAAGTAGGCAGAACCAGAGCCAATGAGATGCAGGGCCACCCCATGAGCTGGTTACAAATAATAAGGGAGGCTGGTGGGGAACTGTCCCATTTGCCCTATTGGGTCAGCCTCCACTATTATGGAAGGAAAGGAGCAGAACAAAATAAGGGTAACCAGGAGGCTACCCGTTTTCTATGCTTGTCTTAGAGACGTCTAAATGTTATAGGACTTCCACAATGATCCCTTCTCTAGGTCACAAGCATAAGTTACTTGTCCATTATTCCCTGATCAGACCTATGCTTTGCTGCCATCCTTAAAACAAAGGACGTGAGATTCTGCTTTCAGGGCAGGCTGCACATCAACTCTTAAGATTTTTCAGATTCCTACAAAATTTCAAATTTTCAGCTCTCATGGTTATGAATGTAAAAACTTTGGTCGGCATGCCAGCTACTATTTATTTCGTAAAATTTATATACCACTCGATTGGAACAAAAACCCCTCAAAGTGCTATGAAAAGGGCACTGAGGATGCAAAGACTCACCTGGCTCTGCCTCGATGTTGGCCATACCAAGCTGTTATTCTTTCTTCCCACATTTCCGGGGTCATCTGGTATAAGTTTATCACCTAGAGAGTGAGACACAAAGCCATCTTCAAATATCTGAAGGGCTGTCACATGGAAGATGGAGCAAGCTTGTTTTCTGCTGCTCTCGAGAGCTGGACCCAAACCAATGGATTCAAATTACAAGAAAAGCGATTCCAATTAAACATTGGGGAGAACTTTCTGAGGTTAAAGAGCTGGTTAAACAGTGGAGTGGAATACCTCTCCTTCGAGGTTTTTAAGCAGAGGTTGTATGGACATCTGGCAGGGAGTCTTTAGCTATGTTTGTAGGTGTTTGGACTGGGAGTCCCAATTCTGCAATAGGATTCTAGGATCTATAAAGTAGCTTAGCTCAGTGGAGCCCCACCTACCTGCAGTTTTGTCTCAGAAATGGACAGTGCAGGCTAATGGTCAAAGTTAGACCATGTTTGAAACGCCACATCCTGCAGGATGGCTCATCAAGTGGTACTATATTGTCTTTGAGCCACTGTTGCCCAATATAAGTAACTGAAGCAGACACGGCACCTTACTTGCCTTTCCCAACCAAGGTATGCATCTTTGCATCTCAACAAAGTAGGGAAACAAACCACTTCCTGTTCATTACATGGCAGTTCATTACAATTACATTATTAGCCCAGGCAGACAGACAATTAGGCTTCTTCAAGCCCTAAAGCAGTCTACCCTCCAGATGCTTTTGGGACCACAGCTCCCATCAGCTGTAGCAGGCTTCCTCAAACTCAGCCCTCCAGATGTTTTTGGCCTACAACTCCCATGATCCCTAGCTAGCAGGACCAGTGGTCAGGGATGATGGGAATTGTAGTCTCAAAACATCTGGAGGGCTGGGTTTGAGGAAGCCTGAGCTGTAGGGATCTGCCTTATATAGAGTCAGGGCCTTTGTATATCTAGCTCAGTACTGTCTACACTGGCTGGCAGAAGCTCAGATAGGAAGTCTTCTCCAACTCTACCTGGAAATGCTGGGGATAAAACCTGAAACCCCCTGAGCTACAGCCCTTCCCCATCCAAGAACCTTTGTGAAGAAGACCAAAATAATGGACATTATCTTCAGCAGAGCTGGAGAGCCCAATCTGGAAAACGTGTTTGGGGAAAAGGCAATTCTGATGTTCTGCTATCATTTAACAGCCATCCCATGTCCAAGGAAGCCAGCAAGCTGCCTTATGCCGAAGCAGACCAACTCGTCCCTCTAGCTCAGCACACACTGATTGGCAGCAGCTCTCTGGGATTCAGGCCCGACATGCTGCTCTCTGCCTAAGATCTGAGGCCTCTCCACCTTTGCCAGTGTCCGACTGAGCAAGACAGAGCCTTACCCGCTTTGGAAGCAACTCTTCTTGGGCCAAGAAGCCACGCTTGTGAACTGTGGGGTCGTAGTCACCGTACTGGAGGGGGGAAAACACAAAACAAGGGTGTGTAGTGTTAAAACAGCCCTGGTGCACAAAGAGACATAGACAGGCCCTGGTGCATGAAGAGGCAGAGATCTATTGTTAGGGAAGGGTCAAGGTCCCAACTCCCAAACTCATCCGCTGAATGCAACAGAGGTGCATCCGGCACTCTCATTATACAGCTTCCGGACAATGCTGAAGCTGCACCTCTTTACCCTGTTGTTGTTTTTTAAATTAATTGATGTATTATTATTTATTATATTTATTTTCCACCTTTATTTTCCAGTGAGCTCAAGGTGGTGTACATGGTTCTCTTCCGCACCCCCCCCCGTTTCACCCTCACAACAACCCTGCAGGGTAGGTTAGGCTAAGAGATGATGACCGGCCCAAGGTGAGCTTCATGACTGAGTCTCCTGGTCTCCCAGGTCACAGTCCAACACTAACCATTACACCACACCAGTAACAATTAAATTGTCAATTTAGGTGCATATTGTTTAGGACCCCTCTTATGTTTATGATGGTAAGTTGCTTTCAACCTTTTTTTTTAAATGCTGTATTTTAACGTCGTAATCCGCATTGGGACCTTAGGGTGAAGGGCGTTTGATAAATTATCTTAACAGGCCAGGAAATGACCTTCTGTTTATTGTAAAGTTTTCCTTATTTAATCGTCATCAGACCAGAAGACAATTCTCTCCTCTGTTAAAGAAGGCATAGTGCAATCCAACTATGGACTTTGACTGTGGTGGGGTCAATGCAGCTTCCCACCCCCCACCTCCAAGCCTGTGTTGGCTTCTTGCCTCATCCCAACCCCACAAAACCTTAAAATCAGAATCTCGCTTTTTAATTTTAGAAGAATTATTCTCTGAGCTCCCCAGAGGCAGTCTCACACACGGCTGTACAAAACCGAGGGCATTGCAAAGCACACAAGTTTTCTGTACTCTCGTCAGCATATATTAATATCGTGTTTTTCATTTATTTCTCATGCAGAAGAGGAAACAACAACTTTTTTTAAAAAAAGAGGATTTTTACAAGCTTTCAAGAAGAAGAGGAAGGGGGAAGATATGTTAAATGTTTTTTTCCCCATAGGAGATGTCCTGCTGATGGCCTGTGCCATTCGCCCGCAGATATTGATTTTAAATCTTTTGTTTTGTTTTCCTACCCCCTGGGGCCAGATGGCTACTTGAGGATGGGCGATCAATATCAGCAGCGGGTACTGCAAATAGTGAAAAATATGCACATATTAGGGAAATGCACTCTATGCAAGAGGCAACCATGCCACCGTCAGGAGAATGAAGAATAATAACACTATTTTTGCAAGAGATTATACACATTCATATTATACACATCCATATGAGTTCCTTGCAACTCTATGATTCTATGTTCCATATGAGTCCCTTCCAACTCTATGATTCTATGTTGCATATGAGTCCATTGCAATTCTGATTCTATGTTCCATATGAGTCCTTTCCAACTCTATGATTCTATGTTCCATATGAGTCTCTTCCAACTCTATGATTCTATGTTCGACATGGGCAAAAGCACTTGGAAGGAGGAACAGAGCTAGAGTCCCAAGGGGCCCCTACAGAGAGGCCTGCAGGGCTGCATTTGGCCCACAGGCCTGAGGCTGCCCACCCCTGGTACAGCTGCAAACTACAGAGCGTGCACAAACTTAAGCACATCCGTGCATGTCCAAGGAAGCTGAAAGATGGAAGATTCGGGACAGGTAAAAGAAAGGACTCCTTCCCACAGAACAGGGTTAACCTATGGAACTCATTCCCACAGGAAGCAGTGATGACCGCCATCTTGGATGGCTTTAAAAGAGGACTGCCCAAATTTCTGGAGGAGAAGGCTCTCAATGGCTGCTAGCCAGGATGGCTATGCTCCACCTCCACAGTTGGAGGTAGCCATGTTTCTGAATACCAGTTGCTGGAAGCCACAGGAAGGGAGACTTGGTGCTCATATTTTGCTTGTGGGTTTCCCATGGGGGAATCTGATTGGCCACTGTGAAAACAGGGTGCTAGACTAGATGGGCTATGGACCTGATCCAGCAGTCTCTTCCTATGTTCTTAATATATGCATTTTCGTGCAACGTTCCCCCTAATATATGTGCTTTGTACACCATTTTGGGGTTGGAGAACTGTATCACGAGATTGGGAGGGTTGTGAATCTTGAAGGCTCACCTGTCATTTTGGAATGTGCAAATTTAGATAAGCGTCCACTGAATTGCATATCAAACCGAATTTCTCGCCCACCCCTAGTTCTGACCAAGCTGCTCTCCTGAAGTCTTCCACATCAATGCCAATTCCAGGAGATTCTGCAACTGTTGACTTTATGCCGTTTTCTATAGCTTTCAGGGCGCAGATCTTCCCCACAACAGAAGCAAAATAGGATTCTGTAGCTATTATATGGGAACAAAAGTCTGACAACTATTTTGGCAGTACAGAGCAGCGGAAAATAAATTGGGCTGGGGCAACCTTCTCAAAGGTTTGAGTGGGGCGGAACCGCTCATGGGAAAACGCACAATGACTATCGCCAAGCAGTAATCTCAACATGTTTTCCTTTACAAAAAGTCTGAGGAAGGCTTTTGTGTGTGTGTAAATACAGCTATTTTGTGTGAAGGAATCGTTTTTTGTTTCTGGGGGGGGGGGAGACACTGCCTATTCTGAACTTTACTAAGTATATATACAAACACAGTACATATACAAAATTGTCATTATTACAATAAATCTATGGTGACCAGGAATAAAATGGATACACACCCACATACACCCCAACCATTTTTATTCAGATTTTTATTTTTACTTTTACAAAAAGAAGTTGAAGATTGCAGTGTGAAGGAAAAGATACTTTAAATGCATGCCTATAATTGGTTAGAACGTGGGGAGGGGGGGTAAACACCTTGTAAATTTCTTAATATGCAATGCATTTTCATCTTACCAATAAAGGAAAAGGTAAAGGTAAAGGGACCCCTGACCATTAGGTCCAGTCGTGGCCGACTCTGGGGTTGCGGTGCTCATCTTGCTTTATTGGCCGAGGGAGCCAGCGTACAGTTTCCGGGTCATGTGGACAGCATGACTAAGCCGCTTCTGGCGAACCAGAGCAGCGCACAGAAACGCCATTTACCTTCCCGCCAGAGGGGTACCTATTTATCTACTTGCACTTTGATGTGCTTTCGAACCTTTAGGTTGGCAGGAGCAGGGACCGAGCAACGGGAGCTCACCCCGTCGTGGGGATTCAAACCGCCGACCTTCTGATTGGCAAATCCCAGGCTCTGTGGTTTAACCCACAGCGCCACCCGTGTCCCTCACCAATAAAGGAAATGCCCTCATGATTTCCCTGGATTTTTAACAGATTCTAAACCCGCGAAAAGCAGAGGCAGAAAATCAGTCAAGATAAGATTCAACAAGACCAAGAAATTGGAAACTGGAAGACAGAGAATGGAAAATCTTTAATATGGCAATTTGGCCCCAATGGACAGAGCAAGTACCGGCAACGAAGCAAATGTGGAAGATGATTTTGTAGAGCAGTGGCACGGGCTCATACCAGGGTCAAGACCTAGTGAAACTGGGGCCTCAACGCCAGCATCACAATAACTTTCCTGGAGAGATCTGGTATGCAGCAGTGAAACAGTGCACTGCTCTTCAGATTCCCCCTACGTATTTTAAAAATAATGATACAAAAAGTAGAATTGCATACCAAACCAAATATAAGCCAGTATTTGTGTAGTGGTTGGAGTGCTGGACTGAGACCTGGGAGACCAGGGTTCAAATCCTCACACAGCCATGAAGCTCACTGGGTGACTTTGGGACCATCACTGTCTCTTAGCCTGACCTACCTCACCGGGTTGTTGTAAAGATAAAACAGGGAGGAGGAGAGCTCTGTATGCTGCCTTGAGCACCTTGGAGGAAAGTAAATGTAACAAGGAAAAAGGCCTCTATGTATTGTGGATTTTTTTTTTACACGCTATTGTTATACAGTCATACCTCGGGTTACAGACGCTTCAGGTTGCATTTTTTCGGGTTACGGACCCACCGAAACCCGGAAGTACCAGAGCAGGTTACTTTCGGGTTTCGGCAGTTGCACATGCGCAGAAGCGCTAAATTGCGCTTTGCGCATGCGCAGAAGCGCCGGGTCACAACGCAAGCGTGCGCAGACGCGGCGCTGCGGGTTGCGAGCATGCCTCCCACACGGATCACGTTTGCAACCTGGGCATCCACTGTACATGAAAAATAAAAAGTTAAAAAAAGCTTTCATCCATGTAAGCAAGATTTAGATGGGCAGCTGGAGACAGCAGCCAATCTGCCTGCCAAAAGCTCTTTTACCTAAATTGGGCCACTAAACAGCACCAAAATTATTACTCACGGGGGTTCATACGATCCATCATTTTGAGCCGATACCCTTCAAATAGCGAGAAGCCCGATGAAACCGTCAATTTGGAAATTAAGAACTCAAGCCAGATGCTCCCATAGAACATGCAGAAGGAATTCAGTACAAAGGGCCACGTAACAGCCGCCCCCTGAACGGGTGTTCCAAGAGAAGGCCATTTACAAGTAATATATCTAGATATAGATATATATGTACCGGAAATATTTTGATTCCATTTTGGCCCGCCGATGAAAGAGCTGCCAGCGTCCTGCCATCATTCACTTATAAAGCCAGGACGTGATTTCATACAGTAATTAACCCCGGTATGCAAAGAATGTCCTCAACATCCACGAGGAAAGTCAGAGGGGAGGAGAGTCCTGCATGGCGGTTTTTTAAGCAAGACAAATGATCAAATAAAGCGAAGGCAGGAAGTCAGGAGTCCTTCTCAATCAGCCTCTATTTAAAAGTTTTGAGCAAGGATGGGGGGGCGGGACAACACACGCTACAGAGCTTGACAATCAGCATCAACAAGCTGCCCACACACATCCTCAAGGCGGGAAAAGGCGTTCGGTGCGAGAAAAGAGGGGCTTCAAGGCGGAAGTGCCAAATTTGGAGCCGGCACAGATGCGAAA